TACTCCCCTGATGCCTTATCGACGGAGGGAGAGAGAATCATTCGTGTTCCCTCTTATTTGTGTCACGTGGTAAGCTTTGTGGTGCTGTTGAGAGATGGGTAGCGTTGATTCGTTTGCCGCTATTGTAGCAGGCCGACGTCGGCGTAAGTTCTGCGCCAAGCCTCACGTGAACAGTATATGCATGGTAGGGAAAGGAAATACACTTGTTACCATTTGCACAAGGTTTAGTAATTCTAGAACAGAATATCCTCCGAACGGAGGTCACCAGGATGTGGATGAAGTGGTGGTAGCATGGGGTTCTGCGGCTCGCGAGAAGTGATGAGAGACACTCGAAATCACTGCCGATGAGTGGAAGAAAATGGCAGGAGAGAGTTGCACTGCTGAGGAGTGGAAGATCCACGAATGCCTCGGGAATGCCCGGAGAATGCTCTGCGAATCCCTGAATGTCGGAGGACCTCCCCTATTTAAGGGCAAAGCTGGCCGGAGAAAGTAGTCCTCCGGCCCAAGGTGAGGGGGCTGGGTTCATGCCCGATGGCGAGGATGAAAAATGAGTGAAAGGGGTCGCAAACTAATAGAAAAACCCGTTCGAGTACATGACATTTGCATGCGGTTTCGCCACGATCCTCCATCGTTCGATTAACCATGGAATTTTCCGGAATTCAGATGGTCATGAGTTTAACTCTTCTTTTTTATCATTTGATACCCAAAGAAGCTCTTCAAAATGCTTTGTCTTATCACGAATACCTATCTTCATGAAAATGCAAATAATATTAGACCATAGAAGTTACAAGTTTATCGCGAAGTCCACAAAATCGCAACATTTCCTTCTATATTGGACAATCGGACACAGAAGGGTGAGCCATATTAAAAGACAGCTATATCCATTTTCATGACAAAATGGTGCATGCCTAATGTCGTCCCTGTTGATCCCCTAAGAGGGGAACACGAATTGAGTTGAGTTTTGACTCGGGAGGTGCTTGAAGAAAGGTAATAGGCGCTCCCGCACTTTATTTATTCCTTCCATCCTCTTCATGTTTCTTGATATCACATTTTGAGATGCAGTCCCACGCCTTTGGCAACCATGAAATCCTTTCTCAACCAATCCCTTTTTCTGCAAATCCTCCTGCTTGAGATGGAATCTTCCCTCACTTTTCGTCGTAGGGAAGAGAGGAACAGCAGGCGACGTACGAAAGGTCGAAGATCTCCATGGCGACTGAGTAACTCGCATTTTCCATCGCATGTCGATATCGGCAGAAGTATGCCTCATTTTTCAAGTCTCACCTGTCAGATGGGACAAGATGAATGATCCGAACTGGGAACACAGCACAACCAAATCCCTCAACTTCACCCATGGAATCGATGCAAAAGTCTTCCCGACTGACAGAAACACCAGCTAATTCTGAACGAGCTGGGCCCATCTTCGTAGGGAACTACGCGTATCTATTCATAGAAATCAGGTGCTGAATCAAACGCAAATAGTGGTTGACTTGGAAATCGATTTCGACTGTCGTAACTAAGAGGACCACATTCTGTGAGTTCGCATAACCAATGAAAAGAAATCATCATCTTCTCAGGATTCAGTGTATTTTCTTATATAAAATAACTTACCTGACTTGCACGAAAATTACTTAAGGGTTTCCTCTCTCTTATTTTCTCTTGTAAAAAAGCCCGTGTTCGCCCGAGCTGAAACGAGTCGAATGAATGCATTTCATGTATGTGTTTCTGGGCTCTCTTCGTCAATTTCATTCCTCCTGGAAGCAGCCTGCGAAGCAGCATTTTTTGAACGCCGTTATGCTCCTTCATCCACTGACTGTGACTGGAGGATTCGAGGTCTTTCGAAAGCAATTGCGAAAGTAATTCCAAGCTTGTAGTTCTTTCTCACTCCAATCGTCATCGAGGGCGCTCGCGGCAGTCACTCGCTTCTTGAATAATGGAAGTGAAAGCAAGAATCCATTCAAGACATCCAATATCCACTGGGATATTACGGTTTTCCATAAATTCGTGGGACGTAAATGATCTCTTGTGGAAGCCTTAAAGGAATACAACGAAAACGGTTTTCATTTTGGCTAAGTGAGTCAGTTAGTTTGCTATATAAGTTCATACGAGGTGATATACGAAACTCAATTTTTCTGGTTTACATCCGTTTAGATTGAGAAAATTTATTTCGTTAAAGCCTTAATTGGAATCTCTTCCCAGGCATGAATAACCTAGTTGTCATGTGTGGTGGGAGAGTCCCATCAAAATAAAAGTCCAGAACAAGGGTGCACAACTCTTAAGGCTGTGAGGGCAAGTTTCCTCTCCCACCACGAGCCTCAGTCTGGCTGACCATTGCTGTGGCGAACAGGACAGGAGCAATAGTTGCTCTTACTACGACACCAGTAATGGCGAGACATGGGCAAGGTTCTCGCATCCCGCCTGCTGTGCACCCTTGTTCAAGAAAATATCTTTTTTGGTACACTATCCAATTTGCAAGTCGTCATTAAGTCACTTTAGGTAGGATTGGAGGCCTGAATTCAAATCATGTCTTTGGAATCTATTTTGGAAAAACGTCGGGAAAAAGTTTTGCACTTGTAATAACCAAGAACCTCTTTTTTAGCACTCAATCTCTGCATTAGTTGATGCATGGGTCAACAACACCAAACAATATGGGAATTTTGTGCTGATTTCATTGAACAGGAGGAGAAGGCTGCAGGCAGTCTAGTGAATCAAATAATAGCGAAAATGTTAGTCAGTCAAGAAAAAGGGTTTCCATGCATGACCAAGCGGTTAAGATGAGAGTGGAGAAAGGAGGAACGGATTCTGCTCTGAATAAACTCCCTGATGGATACACATGCTTTCGAAGGAAAGAAACGGATCACGTCTCGCAATGGCAAACACTTGAAGTAGATCGAAGTAGGTAGAACGAGTTGAAAGCGGTAACCATGCGATTCAGCTAGCATGGCAATGGCATGGCAACCTGATACTAAGTCGGAAAAGCCAGTACTTGATAGCATTTGTAGGGTGCAGGAAACAACGGTCCCATTTCGTGAGCACACATATGATACTGCAACTGCAGGATGGTCAACTATAGTTTCTTGTGGATGGGGGGGTGTTAATTTTGCATAAACATGATATCATGTACTTCATGTCATATGACGTGACGTCTACTTCATTGCAAAATACACGTACACCTTGATGACGTAAATATAGGGACGTAAATTTTGACCGTTGATGTTATTTTCATGGCAATCGCAAGAAATTTACATTGTTTAAAAGAAATTGATATCTTGTTTACACAAACTTGCTGCTTGGGGTGATTCCTTATTTAACGGCAACTGTTATCTGAAAAAAATTGACACCTTTATCGCGAATCACGCTTTGGACAATTTTGTTACGCTTGCAACTCAGGAATACCCTCTTGGCCACTTCAATCGTGATCAACAACAAAATTCATTTGTCGAGGAGAAAGATCACTGTGCTGACCTTTTATCTTTGCAAATATGGAATATCTAACTCGAGCCAAATCAGCCAGAATGGAAGGGAAGCATAACTAGAGGTATTGTGTTTTGTCAGAAACACAAAATGAAGTCCACATCCACATATTTTCCACATCCATGGGAGTAATGAGAAAATTTTTACTGAAATTGGTGCAAGTATCTATGTTTCCGTGAAGTAAAAGAGAAAAATAAATACGGGACCAATCCATATTCAAGATATACCCATATTTTTTCCCATTTTGAGGTTGTAGATACGTTAGTATCGTTGGAATTGCCTATGTCCTTTTCCACCTATCTGAGTGAACAGAATGGAAGAAGAAGGAAGTCGTGGGTTGTTTTGAAAATGGAAAACTTTTCACTTTGCTTTGAAATAAATATGTTTATCTCGGAAAAACCATAACTTCGATTGTTGGCCTTGCTTGTCACAATGGGACGTGGTGGACGAGACCTCACTTCATCTAATTATCATATATTTGGAAGATCAGATCAAAAGATTTGAAGAGTATCAACTTGGCGTTTGTTTTTCTTATCCCACATGTCTGCATATGGAGATGCTTTCGCGCGACGACAGGAAACAAGGACTGAATTTTGTTGTTATTTGATGGCATTTTCCTCAAATTCCAAATGCAATTAGCATCATCATCTGGGATTTATAGTGATGAAGATCAGCTGGCGCGATGGAAGGACCAAAGTGATAGCCATCATAGATTTTTGAGAGACTTGAAATGGTTCCTAATTCCGATGCACAATCGGATGAGGCACGTTTGAATGAGTAGGAATCTAAGCCTAAGGGAAAATGTGAAATACTAAAAGCATCTTAGGGCAATAACGCCATTTTGTCATTTTCTGAATTCAGTCATTCGATGCAAAACACTCGTAATTTCATGATTTGTTTTATTCCCAGCATAATTCACATAGAAATGTAAGTTCCCCCATGAACCCATCATGGAAAACACAATGTACTCTCCATACATAACCTCATTTCACCGGTTAAAGGAAAAGAAAATCATGAATGCAAGCGACATTCAGATAGGAAACTTCGAAACCCAGAAACAACACCTAGAAACAACTCATGCAAAACCCAAATGTGTCATATATATTGCGTTGAACTAACGGTGAAACCCAATCTAGTGCATGGCTCATCCCAAAATCTGATGTTCTTTGGACAATTGATTACTTTCATATGATTCCTTCCCAGAGGAAAAATTTTGTCCAAGAATAATACATTATTTCCCCACAATCAGACAAGACAAAAATAGTGAGAATCAGGAACGAATGGATGAGAATCGAAACTTTTAAACAGTGTTTGTGAAATGCTTTGACGTGGAGGGTCGGTATCACCACGAGAGGGTTGCATTCGTTTTTCCATGACATGGAAAAGACGTCACTCGGAACAGCAGGATGACTTTGAGGGCACGGATACATGCAGGGAACAAAAGCACGTTTTCAAATGCGTCTACTTGGGGTCCATGGCACACGAGAAGTGTACTATTTATAGATGATACGACCAGGTGATCTTTGGTATCACTTGAGGCCGGCGGTCTTGACCACGAGGACTTCGTAGGGTTTGATCGCACTCTCGCTTCCTCCATCCGCGACCCAACATGTATCTCCATTCTGGTGCAACTAAGGGGAGGAAACGAAAGTAAAGACCATGAGCGTGTTCGTCAGGCATCTGAGGCGCCGGACTATTAATCAGGGCCCAGTCCATCGGCAATATGAGCGGGGATTCGTGATACGAGTGTCATCCGGTCATCGACGAGATGACGTCGACACGATACCATCGACGCCACGAAGTCGAAATCGAGATCCCTCATGTCCTTTTCCATCTTTTCACCCATCAATCATTTCCCTCACCGGAGCATTTATTTGGTTGCACATGCCAACAAATGGTTAATTTGCAACCCAAAGAGCGCTTCGGGGTAGTAATGTGAGACATACCCAAGAAATATGGGAAAAGTGCGTCTTCCGGAAGGAAAAGTTCTGAACGTTCGGCAAACCCGAGTGGCATATGACTTACTCTTAGAAAATTCCGAGCGTTTGGGGAGTAAAAAGTGAGCACACCGTGAGCTTTTCGAATTTACTCTCTTATTACTCACCAAATGCTCCCTCATCGCTCGTATTGAAGTGAACACCTTGAAGTTATTCGCCAAGCCACTAGATGGCGGTAAGGGTCTCGTTTTTCGCACAGTACACAAAAGTTCCCTTCCCTCTTTCCCTGGAATCATCCTTCGCAGGATTGTTTAGTACCTTGCCATATGCCTCGCCTAGTCTCATTATAGGAATCAATAAACACGGACACATCATCATTTGTTATCCACATATTCAAGACATATTCATAGAGTTCAGGCCATATACAAGCTCATATTCCTATCGAGAACCCTTTTGGAACACGTATGGTGTTATCTGCATGGGAGATCTGGAATTTACAGGGTGTGCCCGTGAACTTCAGTCAATCACATCTCAATTAAATGAGATAGTAAGGGACTGACATCCCGGACACTCCGCGGAACCTATAAGTGGTGGTCCACCCCTTGACGTGTGCTGTAATCAGTACAGTCAGAGGTAGGTCAACGCCTGTGCGAAAGCGACGCGCAGTTTATCTGAGAATTTTCGTATTTGCATGACATCCCTATCACTATATGATGGGAGCGTTTTTACTCAATGACGATAAGAGCAATTTTACTCATTGGTGAAGGAGTAAATTCGCTCCTTCCCCAGAGTGACAGGGGGGGTGAAACTGGAGTTAGCTATTTCACTCTCTTTTTTGAGAAAAATCGCTCCCCTTTTTCTAAGAGTGTATTTCGATGTGTCTCAGCGAAGACTCAAAATGTCTGCTAAAGATAAACCCTCACAGAGGAAAAGAACAAAAAGACAAAACTACCTCACTCCTTTCCTTTGCAGCCTGGGCGGAAAGGGAAGAAAACAAAGCTCGCAACTTGCCTTGCCGCAGACATGATCCTGATTTAGCCAGGCCCTGCAGATGAAGAGTACCTCCCCATTGCTCGCGCGTCCTCCCTTCAGGGCCCCTGTTGGGACAGGCGATGCTGCCACCCAGTCTAGGTATCCCATGGTGAGATTCACCAGCACCTGAAGACGTTCGACAGAATGCAGAGACAAAAACAATTAAAGAGAAATCTTGTTCCCCCGTTGCAAAGGCAGCTCGCGTTATTCTTTAAATGAATTTTATCCTAAACACACTGTAATAATTTAATTCTCTTCCAAATGAATTTGATTAAAAATTCGTGAACATGACTCATAAGTTTACAAATACACCGACATTCGACGTATCATAGTTTGAGTGAAGGCCCGGACCCCCTCTCGGCCCACTAGACAGAGAGACATTGAGAACTGAGATTGAAAGTTCCAAACTTCACCATTAAGAGCACGACGAATCTACCATTTAAAATGCTCTCGTCACATCTTGCTTTCTTGCAAAAAAAAACCGCAGGTGTGAATCCCTCACTTCATATGTATCCACCGGATTACCCCCCCCCAATGGGAAGAAGCAGGCCGCCTTGGACGGTTGGAGCTTGCATGGCCCGAAGTAGTTATTTTTCCTGGTCCTGCCCACGTAGAGGATCTCTCCGCTGGACGTCTTCCCGCACGCAAAGGCTCCGAATGGGTATTCGCCACGGCTCGCCTTCACCCACTCCACTACCATATTGTATTTCCCTGGAGGTTACGAGAAAATGGGAGAGGAATCGTTCAGAGATGCGGTGGATTGAGGGTCTTAACACTTTGTGTCCCCGGTTATGACATTTGCTACTAGCTCAGTGTCTCGGGTTCGAGTGCATCGCTGGTGGTTCGAAACACGCTGGGGGGTTGCGAAGATCTCCACAAACGCTGCAGTCATGCGTTATTTACACCGCTTTGTACTATCAAGTTGTTGCGCCGGTTGTTGTACGTTGACTTATCGGAAACCGACCTCGGCAGTTCCTGGTCGCAGAAATGATTCGATGCCTAATATTAATTTCTCCACGACAGGCGAGACTATCGGATCTATGGTGCTTCTGGACTCGATAAGATGCTGATTGTGCTGACTTCCCTTCATTCCACTCTAGTCATTCGTACCTGGCGTCTCGGTGGCTGTGATGGGGAGTTGGGCGAAGGCTAAGGGGGAATTTTAAGTGAGAAGAAAAAAATAAAGACAGCCTCATCTCTCATTAGTTGACTCATCGGAAATCGAACCGGGCATTTGCTGGTCGCGAAAATGATTCTATGACTAACATGAATGCCTCCACGACAGGGGAGACTCTGGGATCCGATAATTCGTCTGGGCTCGCGAGAAAGTTGATCGTACTGAATTCCCCTCTTCCACGTAAGGCATTCTCATCTCGCGTCTTGGTGGCTATTTCTGCATATTACTTTTAACAATATCCAAAGACACTCACGATGGTGGAGGCTTGAGTAGGCCGACCAACCGCTCTCGGGGACGAGGCCACTGGAACCACTTGCAACCAGTTCACAATCCCCTATCTCGGGGTTGTAGTTGACTCCGTCGCATCCTCCCCCATTATGCTCGCTGATGTCGCATTTCCAGATACATTCCTGAATATTTGGCTGCTGCAAAAAAATTTGCAGTATTCCCGACAGCTTCAAGTCTTTTCCCAAGAGATCGAATCTTCTCATCTTCTTCACACAGTGGCCGATATCATTTCCCGCGTATCCGACAGGGAAAGAGAATACGAAGACCACAATGTTGAAGAGCTTCATGGTGAATGGAAAACTCTGCGTTTCCTTCGCATATATATATAGGACGAATTCCCCCATATATTGCTTGTTTAGCTTCTCAGTGCGGTGCAGGGTCGGTGGAGGAGAAAAGCGAAAAATCCAGTAAAAGCCTTCCTTCTTTGCAAGCAGAAACAATACAAAGTGCATTCGCCGACAAGGAGAAACTGCGAGGGAAGAGAATGTTTGCTTTGTGATACAAAATGAAAGTGTACGTTCAATGCAATGGGGGGAGGGGGGTGCAATATACAGCACAAGTCTAGAAGGGTGACCGTGCATGAGGAGATCGTCTTGATCGAAAAGTGTTGGTGGGCATGAGGAAACTGGGCCAATATATACACGTGCAACTGCGTTGTCACAAAAGGAAAAGGCCAGGGGTTTCGGACTTCAATCAAATCCTGGAAAAGCGATAGCAACTTCATATATCCAAGTCGCACAGCATTCCTCAATATTCACGCGGGCACGTCTTTCTTTCTTAATTAACGAGATGAATCTCTGGAGTAATACCAAGAAAGCAACAAACAATAGTATCATGCAGCCGTAAAAAAAAGCAGTTTCATAAAATTCCAAAGTGGCCTGAAAGGCCAGTAATCGCGTTTCTTTCAATCTAGGCCATTGCTTTCCATGAGCTCATGAAAAAGAAAACTTGGTTCTACTTGTCACTGTACAAGTGCCAAGATCATGTGCTTTTACCCAGATTAACCCACGTCAAGTGTTTTATCACGAGGTATACAAAAAATGGGTTTATGTCTTGGGTTATGATTTCACCCATGAAGCACAAACGATGATAAAACTATAAGAAACAGAGGTAATGGGAGTCAGAATCTCAAGAATCAAGCAGTTTCCGTTGTGGTAAATTCAATAAGAAGATGGGATACATTAAGAGGACGCCACTCATATCATGCATACGTTCGTTATTGGTTCTATTGAAATTCGTGCGTTTGAGTGGCTTTAAGCCTCAGCCGGCCACCCACCAATCTCGACAAGACTCTCTACCGTTATGCCTAGACCTAACCAGAAGACTGCCTCCTGATCAAGACATGGTTTGCCTTTTTATTTCAAAAGATGCGTAAATCTCGACTTACCCTTAATTCTCAATTCTCGATCGTTAAGCCTTTGATGGTGAATCCGTGGTCTTCCAGACATCTCTTTCACGACGCGTAACGTATGGAGGGGTTCGAGCGGGAGGGAAATCAGAAAAAGCAAGTCAAATCAAGTGAGATTCAATGTTCTTCACAACCCTCCTGAACAAATTTGCTGGAACTATATTGTGTTGAGATAGGAAGAAGCATGTCTAATGTCGTTTTTGTTGATTCCCTCAGAGAGGAATCCGATTTGAGTTGAGTTTCGCCTCAGTATGCGGTTGAAGAAAGGCAATAGGCGCTTTTTCACCACTTTTTTCCTCCCATCGTCTCCATATTCCTTGATAAAGCATTCGAAATGCAGTCCTGTATCCTCTGTAGCTTTTAAATCCTTGCAGGCAATGTATTCCATTTGCTTCAAATCTTCTTGCTCGTGCTGCAATCTCCCATCTCCTTTTCGGCGTAGGGAAGTGAGGTACAGCGGGCGGAGTGCTAGAGATCGAAGATCTCCATGGAGACTTGTGGAACACACACTTTCCATCGCATATCAATATCGGTAGAAAGGTAGGCCTCACATTTCAAGTGCCTGTCCGACCGAACATGTTGAATGATCCGATCGGGAACACGGCGCAAAAACTCTACTTCTCCCGGTCTTATTGCTTCCCCTTGACTCTGATTCAGTTTAGGAACCAGGAAAAAGTCGGAAGGGGCCATGTGAGATGGAAGAGATAGCAATGCCCAGCGCCAATATCGCTCTGACACTATTTACCTGAGAGCCAAGTCTAAAATGTATATTTACAACAATTTCAAGGATATGATGCATTTAATTCATGTCTTCGTATTATTTGCTAATTCCTTCCCCATATCCAGATAGAGAACACACTTATCCTCTAGGAAAATAGTGCATATCTACCATCATATCTGTGGAACAAAAAGTGTATGAGTGGAAAATCGCGTTGCAAGAAATCCACATAGGTCCCAGAAAAAATTGTCCAAAGATCTGAACTCCCTGAGGTTCACCATCAGGAAAATTTTGAAGAATGACCTTGTACTTTGACCTTTCAGAAAAGTGAAAAACCAACTCTTGTGCAATGATCAGGAGCAAAAGCGGAAGACTGGAGCTATGGTTTAATTGAGGCGTTTCACAGGTGACAAATGGAAATCGGTAATGCTTTCTGATGAGAAGTTTATTCGCTGTAGAAGAAAGGTACAACTTCCCAAAAAAAACCGGGTCAATGCGACCAACAAATCTACTATTCCAGCAGTCCTGTGTCCTCGGAAACCCTAAATCCTTTCAAACCATTCGATTTATCAAATCCTCCTGCTTTAGGTGGAATCTCCCCTCTACTTTTCGTCGTACACAAGGGAAAAACAACTTGCGAAGGGCGAAAGGACGAAGATCTCCATAGCGACCGAGAAACTCGCATTTTCCATCGCACGTCAATATCGGCAGAAGTATTTCTCATATTTCAAGTCTTACCTGTCCCATGGGAAAAGATGGATAATCCGAACTGGGTAAACAGCACAACGAAATCCCTCAACTTCACCCATAGAGTCGATGCAAAGTGTACATCTGGACTTAGAAAAACACCAGATAATTATGAATGAGTTAGGCCCACCTTCTTAGGGAACTATGCGCATCCATTCATTGAAATCGGGTTCTGAATCAAACGCAATTAGTAGATGACGAGGAAATAGTTTGCGACGATCTTAACTTCGAGGGTCATCTTCCCTACGTCCGCACTAACCTCCACCCTATGAAAAGAAATCATTACATCTCCCCTAAAAATTCAATGAATTTTTTATATAAAAAATATAGTTCCCGACATGCATGCAAATAACACGAGTATATAAGCTTTCTTATTCCATATTGGCGTGAAAGCCAGCGAGCAAACGGGCTGCAATGAGTCCAATCAATGCATTTCATGCATGTCTTTCTGCTCCCTACGCGTCAATTTCTTTCCTTCTGGAAGCAGCCAGTGAAACAGCATTCTGAGCACACCGTTATACATTTACTCTTTCATCCTTCCACTGTAACTCCAGAATGCCTCTATTCCTCTTACGTTCGAAGTTCCAGCCTCAGAATAGTTTAAACTTCTCAACCTTTCTCGTGGCATTTTGAGAGGAACGCCAAAATGAAAATAATAAAATGAAGAGATGACTCAATTCTGCTGATGTACGCATAGCAGTGTCATAAACCGACGACGGGGCTGGTAACACTGACACAATTCATGACACTTGAACTATGACATAAGATCACTGCCAGCAGTTACCATAGCATCGATGTCCGTAGCGGACAATGTCTTGTACTCTCATTGTTGGTTGCGAGCACTTAGCCTGGGAAGGCATTAAGTAAATTGTTATTCAGATAGCCGAATTTGGGCCCTATAACGTCAGAATTGTATGACTTTTGGAACTGTTGATCAAATAAGTTTCTCCTCTGGGTCATAAGCTTTCAATTGACACCTAGAGTATTCAAATGAAACACTATCGCATGCACTATTGCACATTCCGATTCGCATAAAATTGCGTATTGAGCTTTGATAAGGGATTGTGAGACTTGTTAAGAAGAAAAAGAGAATTCCAGCCGTTTCATTACCCTTACGAAAAGATGCTATAGGATCCGGTGAGATTTTTGAAAAATAAATATCTTATAGAATTCTTATAGGAAACCCATTGAGTTCCATTAGGATTCTCATAGTAATCCTATAAGAATTCTATGAGATTTTTATGCTTCAAAAATCGTATTTGATCCTATAGGAATTTTCCGTAAAGATAAACATTCAAATGGAACAATTTGCAGAAATCGAAGTAGTACAACTCGCCTTGGGCAACGAGAAGATGATGCGGTTGAAGCACAATTCCTGTATGAATTGGTTGGTGCTTGCGTCAAGATCACAAAGCTTTTGCAGTTCTACACGTGTAACTTTGTAGTCAAAAAAGGAAAAAGGCTAAGTCCTTTAAAAGCAATAGCAGCATCGTCAAATCGTGGAACCACTCGTCTCTTCAATATTCAGGTGGGAGTTCCTTTCTTTTTCATAAACGAGATGACACTGTGTAGTAATACCAAGGAAGCAGGAAACAGCTGCATGAAATACCTAAGCGGCCTGAAAGGCTTGTCATCACGTTTCTTTCAAGCCAGGCCTTTGCTTTAAATGCGAAAATGAAAAAGAAAACTTGGTTCTTGCTGTCACCGTATAAATAGCCAAGTTTAACCCTTGCCATGAGTTTCATCACGATATAAACCTAGAAAAGGTTTCAATCATGGGTTATGATTTCGCCCAAGAAGCACAACCGATGAAAAAGGTGAGAGGATACAGAGGCAATGGGAGTCAGAACCCAGATAAGCAGTTTCGCGTTGTGGTAAATTCTATAAGATGGTGGGATATATTAGTAGGACGCCATTCACATCATGTGTACATGATGATTCTATGGAAATTCTGGCGTTGGTGAGTGGCTTTGAGGAAAATGTGCACCTCCTTCGAAGGTGAAGATTAAGAATTGAACTTCGTTGAAGCTCAGCCCTGAGTTCGGTCTCATTTTTACAACACCATTAACTACGGCTAGAAGCTCCTCTTACCATTATCGGGTCTCTTGAGCTATGAGAGCCAATCGGGACCACATTGGGAAATAGGCTCACGTGAAGAAGAAATGTTGAATTCTGTGAAAGCGAGACCAGTCCCATTCTCCTCCTTACGTTGGACTCCTTCCAGTCAAGGGTGGCGCCATTCTTGAAATGAGCCATCTAGTATTATTGCAAATAGTATACAGTGCAAATCAAAAGTCGTGGTTTGGGCCCGAAACGACACGTGATATTACGCCTTTCATAGCGAATTTGGGCGATTAAGAAGGCATTTGAAATGGCTTTAAATTTGCTTCAAAATGTACCAGACTAATAACGTGAAATGCAGTTTTTAACGGCTTTCCCTTACTTAAAATCCCCATCCACCCTTCCATACGTGACTTTCTAACGTTAGGCCTAAATCTAGCCAACATACTTCTTTCTAGTCAAGACATGGCCTACCATTTTAATTTCAAAAGTTGCTCGGTTTTCGACCTAATCTCAATTCGCAATTCTCAACACTCAGGGCTATAACCGTGATCTTGATGGCCATGGTGCACACAATTTTGTTAATGCTGGGGTGCCTGGATGAAATATCTCCATATCCTCCTGCATCGATCAATCGATACTAACCCCCGCTTCCGCTCAACTCATGAACTCAGCCTAAAAATGTCTCATGCATTAAAAAACATTAGTTCTGGGCGGCGACACGAAGGTTCAGGTGGTCTTCAATCTGGCGTAATTTCGGCACGTTATCCGGCAACACTGTGGGACGTTACCGGACGTTACGTTAAGCCCTCTAAGCCTAATTGATCCGCTCAGAGAGGAATAGGATTTGAATTGAGTGTCACCTTGGGAGTCGTTCGAACGAAGGTAATAGGCGATCCGGCACAAGCTTGTTCCTCCCACCGTATTCATATTCCTTGATATCGCATTTCAAGATCTAGTCCTGTGTCCACAACCTTGCAAAGAACTCCTTTTGCTTCAAATCCTCCTGCTTGAGATAGAATCTCTCCTCTCCTTTTCGTCATAGTTAAGGGAGGAACTGCTGGCGGAGTGCGAGAGGTCGAAGGTCCACGTAGCGATTGAGGAACTCGCACATTTCATCGCACATCAATCTCGAGAGAAGAGTGGCTCATATCTCAAGTCTCACCTGTCCGATCGGACAAGGTGAAAGATCCGAACTGGGAACACAGCGTAAAACCTCTGCATTTCCCAGTCTCAGCATTTCCCCTTGACTCTTTGCTTCAGTTTAGGAAACAGGAAAATGTCAGACGGAAGAGATAGCAATTCCCAGCGAAACTTTCTATGAGCAGCCAATTTTCTCTCTTTTTCCCTCAGCCGCTTTTTCATGGTGCAACAGGAATCGCTGATGATACTTTCCTGACCTCTTCTTCTGCAGAACTGTTAGCTAGTGAAGCCCCTAGCTCACAGTCGACACGTGTTACTATTTTACCTTCATCGATAATGTCCACCATGATCATCCATTCCACATTTGAGTAAACAGTTACCTTAAGCTTCGTAGCCGTCTTGTCAACTCATGAGTGCACTGCGCCTGTTGCAGGCCACTGATTTGAATTTAACTTTTTCTCCCGATCCTAGAGGTTGATCCATTTGTCAATCTCAGTTACCACTGGAGCAATGAAGGCGTCATCATCATCGTCAAAATCTCCACTCTGCAATGTGCCCTCTGATTTTTCTGATCTGGGCGCAACACTTTTGGTATTGAACGTGAAGAGAGCGCTGTCAGACCCAGGTTCTCCTTCAGTATGGAATGCAAAATCCAGAGGGTATCCCTAGAGTTTCTGCTATTGCCTACACTTCGATTCGTCCGTCTTCTTCCACCATGGCTTAAACGTAATTGATTTTTTCATCAGTGACGACGCGATTCACCATATACGTGGATAACTTCATTTTTGATGTAGTGGATCGTTTATCATGCGTATACCGGTTATGGCTGCTATCCACGATGTCTTCCATATCTTCCATTGCAAATCGATATCGGTTGGATTACACCTCATATATCACCGCTTCAGCATGACAATACGAGTGATCCGAGCTGCAGATTTTCGTAAAAGTTCCCTCAATATCACACGCGAGTGAATTTCATTTTCACATATATGGGCAGGAGGAAGATTTATATAGGGAGAAGTTTTCATTTGATTTGTTTTTCAGGAGATGATTCTAGACAAATGAAGAGCCTCTACTTGATTCATGTTCCTAAGATGTCGCAGAAAATATTGCTATAGTAAATCAGCCGATGGAGTAATAACTTCGGAGGGGCGGGAACTACAGGCATTCCTGGGGCCATCCGAATATATTTTAGTTGATGGGAAGTTCAGACGCGATTGGCTGACACTTTATACCGCTGCAGTGTCGAGCTGGGGGGGAAACGGTCTCACGGAACGCACCTCGCACATCATCGGATTCTCCACTCCATACAGTTGCGGAGTTCCTTTTACTGCTTTTCGACCTCCACACTAGATTTCGATAACATGGGAATCCATCGTTTACTTTCTTGGCCGCTTCTGCCCTCATCACTCACGTACATCGGGAACACCAAATTCGTAAATAGAACAAGTTTCAATTGAGGAATTGATTTTTCAATTAGCCACATTTCCACATATGTATACATTTTGGTCCTCATATTGCGTACTGACGTGCATAATGGCATTGATTTTCTTAGTTTCCTCAAAATATTTGGAGACAATCGGTAAATTGGTAAAGCATTCCTCCTGTCCGAGAGGAAATATTGCCGATCTCAATAATTTCTTCCCTAGACCTCCTTAGGTATGTAGACAGTTGAGGTACATCAGGATATGCAATTGTCGAGTCCATCGTGTTTCAAGGAAATCTCATAGTGTGAAGCCACATGTCTTGCGTTTTCATGCCATCTGGCTATGCACACCCTTTGAGATACTTTTGCGGTTGGATGCTGACAAACAACCTTCTTAAAATATTTATTGGCCATTATGAAGAATCGCATTAGTACTCATCTTGAATTAGGGAAAAGGTGGCTCATTGTCCTAAAAACAATATTATGGTGATTCATAGGGATTCTTAAGTAGAGATTGATGACCAGGAATTAATTTATTGCGTTCATGTGGGGTTCCATGCATTGAGAAGGTCTGAAGGGGAAATATTCCATACGGTAAAAATATTTTATCCTAAAGAAACCGCGCATGCCCTGTACCAAAGGGAATGGGTGCCATATGGCAGAAATTCTCTTCGGTCTGACAGATATGGGCTTGCTCTTGGCTGAAGGGAAGGTGTGCCAAATGGCAGAAATTCCCTATGGTCCAGCCTAGAGAGCGTATATACCGAAGGGAGTCGGTGCCATTTGGCACATTTTCCCTTTGGTCCTGTTTCGATCCTGGTTAATTTCAGACAATCTGTCTCCTTTCCGTCTAAATTCTTTCTAGTACATGAAGTTATGTTTCTCCACAGAATAATTTTACGTTGACGACTAAGAATGAACGGCAAGAGAGAGATGTTTTTTTTTCTTCCAGAATAGCATTCCCAGAAGTTCAAAGGTGTACATATGAGGTATGTCGTACATCAATAACTTGAAATAATCTTTTAATTATGTATTTAAAAAAAGAAAAGTAATGACTTGTAGTCAATACATAGGAAAGCAGAAAAACTTCATTCTTTTGTTGAGCAGTCATAAACATGAGAACATAATGAAATACTCAATCCAACAAAAATTGCAATCATCTCATTTTAAGCATTCAGTTTACAAATGAATATCAAGGCAAGGCAAATTAAATATTACACAATGCAATGAGACAAATATACACAGGTCACACTCGCAAATGCACATAGTATTCGCTGGAAATAGGTTCAAAGGCAACAGAAGTACTTGATACTGTCAGCTGAGAAGGGATACAAGTTGTCACTACCCTTCACGTCTTCCAGGAAAGAGATTCTGCATGTTCCGATTCTGCCTCCGTGGAACCAAAGTCTGTTGGAGGAAGAATAGGTTTGGATTAGAAATTATTTCTATAGTTGGCTCCCAGTCTTTCACCGAGACATCCATAATGCATCCCACAGAACTGACCAGCAAGAAGCTTTTCTAATGAAATGATGACAGCAGGATTATGTGCATCCATCCAGAACCAGGAGCCACGGATGTGCGTCCTCTCCTGATTTCTCAAAAAGGCCACGTTCCTGGTTTCTAAGAAGATATCGCCATGATCATATACCAATACTTGAGCTAAGTGAGGCATGTGGGATTGATAAAAACTGACCAAGAGTCTCCTGAGTCCCGCCCATCTCCTGAAGAATTATACAAGTAGAATCCCTCTTTAGGAGCCTTCTCACTGTGAGGAGCACGGAGTCCTAACGGTAGGATCAGCAGCATGTTCATAATCGGAATGACTCGCTCGGCTAGAGAGGTGTCACTGGATCACCTAAGGAGAAGAGCACTATGACAGAATATCCTTCTAACCCATAAATGAGTGAAACATTTTAGGAAAATAATTAAACTTCCATAATTTTCCATGAGTAAGGCCTCCTGCAATCCCACTCTTGCCTGTCCTAGGAGGTCACTGGCCTATGGAAACACAGGAAATACACAAAGGAATCACTTATTATTCTTGCAATACCTGTAACTTGATTCTAAGAATCTAAATCCTAAGGCAGTCTCTTGACAAGCAATGTAATTGGGATGCGGTCATTCTTTGATTTACTCTTCTTAAGGAATCTCGAATTACCAAGTTATGTAAAACATACCTAGAGTCTGAAGCAAATCTGGACTTAGAGTTTCAATCATATCTTCATCAAAGACTCCTAATGTGTTGTCCCCCAAACTGTCCACACAGGAAGATTAGAAATCATGTTTTAGTGAATTTTAACTGGCACATTCATGTTGAGATTAACATTTAAAAACTTACTCTGTCTCTGGTTCTTGTTCCTGGTCTCTGACCTGCTCCTGATCAATGTCCTGGCTGCTACTCCTTGGATCCAACCCAAACTCCAAGTCGACCAGCGACAATAATTTCAACTGGGCAGGCAGGTCCTCTACTCCTGGTTTGTTAACGAAGTATGGGGCATATTAGTACCATCATGTATAATACAGGGAACATTTACTAATCATTGTGCATAGTGGGACTCACGAATCCAGCGGACGCTGATGAAATATTGCAGGAGCTGCTTCTTTTGGATGACTTCTTCCAGTTTCTTTTCTAGGTGTTTGAAGTCGCTCCCACTTTTCACATGTTTGAGGTTTTCCTGTTAATTGGAAAAGACCCATGTCATATCACACCCTGGAATTGACTCATGTTATCACAAATATGAATTTAATAAAACAAAACCAAAATATTCTGTGCAATAAGAGCGGAACTTACATCAAGACGGCTGTATGCGACTTGGAAGACCTGATTTAAATCAATTTCAGCACAATACAGCCCAAGGAATCCTAGTGGTAACCTGTTACTAGACTATTTTTTAAAGCCTTGAAGATGTAATGAAGTTTATTGTGCAATTGTCTAAAGGAAATGATGGAAAATTTGCAATTCGAGAATAATTAGGGCATTTTAGCTGTAGTATTGAGTTTTCAAAATGGAGAATTTCAAGAAAAAATTGTAACGTGGATAAATATTTCACATCAAATGGGGTCATTTAAAAGGATAAATAAATAAACCTCACCAAGAAGTCGCTTCTTTTGATGTGAGGATTCCCAAGCTTCCGCAGACAATATAGCTATTTTTGCCACTCGTCCTGGCTCCTCCTTCTCAATTTCTCTCGCCACCGACAGAAATTCTTCAACAGCTTCTTCTCCCAGGTTGATCAAATTGTTGAGGACTTGATATGTCCTACTGCCCTGGAATGATAAAGAAATGCTGTCATTGATTTCTATTGATTTATTTCTATTTTACGTGTACACTTATGAGAACTTGTGATTCAGGAATAGATCAGCAAGAAAACATGGGAAACATGATCACTTCAAGGGCTTCGCTATTGACGATGGAGTAATGAATGATCCAGTGTCTATTGCAAAGCCTTGTAATACAAATATTTACCTTGACGATGTTCTTATAGGCACTTCTAATTAGAGCTGAGTTCTCTGCAGCCCTGTGCAGCTCCATGCACTTCTGTATCTGTAAGAAGATAGGACATGGTCAAATCTCCATATCTCACTTCCTGAAACTTCTAATATTTGGTACCTTTGGAGAATAGAGTTTTTAACGAGAGAAATCAATAACACTGACCGAACTGAATTCGAACAATCGTATTGCAAACACCTCAGCTCCTCTTAGCGGTTTTTTTTTAAAATTTCCTAAGGATTACTTTGAGAATATTCTTAACCCTTTGAGGCGAGATGGTTACACCGTGTAACCACCTTTACTTTATTCTACATTATTTTCTCCCTGCCCTAGGAACGGTGATTTCAAGGCGAAACCACTTGTAATGGCTGACCACAGATCTAGGGGTATAATTCGAAACTTTGAAATCACTTTGTTGGAATTGACAGGTTCTATGATTTCTCCCTGCCCTAGGAACGGTGATTTCAAGGCGAAACCACTTGTAATGGCTGACCACAGGGGTGTAATTCGAAACTTTGAAATCACTTTGTTGGAATTGACAGGTTCTATGAAAGAAAAATTATGACATCAGAAATTGTAAATTCGTGGCTCAAAGGGTTAAAAGAAGGAAGAACCGGACAGCTTACAACATCAAGTACATCATAAGGAATTCATTCAAGTTTGGCGTTGTGAAGCGCCAGGATCCTTGTTTCCACTTCATCGACTCCCATGTAAACAGCACAGAAGCAGGTAGCCTTCCCATTCTTCCCTTCGTGTAGATCCTTCCTTGCCATGAGGACATGTTGGCCAGCTACCACCTCATAATGGTATGCATGCCTCTGTGGATATAATAAACAAATACTTGTATTAAGTACATTATACCTAAGTAAACTCTCTATGTAAAACTAAATTTTGGGTCAACTGAAAAAAAACTTTCAAGATGGTCGCCCCCAAGCACATTGACACTGCCATTCTCAAGTAGAATAGAATAGATTTATTGTGCGGCAATAAGCATTGCATACACAGTAAAGGAAACAAATGGGGAACACATTTGAAGGAAGTGTTTATGGGGTGTTTGCAGAAGAGAAATCGTTTCTTAGGGAAAAAGCTTGACTTAGAAAATAGACAAGCACTTTCTGTGTATTTTCATTGCTGGAGGACATTAGCGAGGCGAACTTCTGCCGACTGGAATGTTGCCAGAAATAGTTGGGTAGGTTTTTACGAATAAAGTCATATGCTGGGCATACGAGAAGAAAATGGTATTGATCTTCCACCTCATTTAATGAGCAAATAGAGCAGAGTCTTCCAGGGTCATCCTCCTGGCGCCAATAGTCATGACCGTTGAGCTTACACATTCCACCGCGAAAATTCGCCATCAGAAAACGTGACTGTGGGTTCATATTCAAGTAG